TTAGGTAGTGTCTGTCTTTGAATTTGAGATGTGTTTCTTGTATGCAGCAGAAAGATGTGTCCTGCTTTCGTATCCATTCTGAAAGCCTATGTCTTTTTATAGGTGAATTAAGTCCATTGATATTAAGGGATAATAATGACCAGTGATTGCTCATCCTTGTTATTTTTTGGTGGTAGTGTGTGTGTGCTTTTCTTCTTAGGGGTTTACTGCTGAGGCTTTATCTATTGCATGTGTTTTTGAGTGTGTATCTGACTTCCTTAGGTTGGAATTTTCCTTCTAGTGATTTCTGTAGGGATGAGTTTGTGGATAAGTATTGTTTAAATCTTTCTTTGTCTTGGAATGTCTTGTTCATTATGTCTATGATGATTGAAAGTTTTGCTTTGTATATTAGTCTGGGCTGGCATCAATGGTCGCTTAGTGTCTGCATTACATCTCTCCAGGTCCTTCTGGCTTTCAAAGTCTCCATTGAGAAATCAGGTGTTATTCTGATGGGTTTGCCTTTATAAGTCTCTTGGCCTTTTCCTTTGCTGCTCTTAATATTCCTTCTGTATTCTGTACATTTAGTTGTTTAATTATTATGTGGCAAGGGGACTGTTTGGGGGGTCTAGTCTGTTTGGTGTGCTATAGGCTTCTTGTATCTTCATAGGCATTTCCTTCTTTAAGTTGGGAAAGTTTTCTTCTATGATCTTGTTGAATATATTTTCTGTGCCTTTGAGTTGGTATTCTTTTCCTTCTATCCCTATTATTCGTAGGTTTGGTCTTTTCATGGTGTCCCAAATTTCTTGGACATTTTGGTTCATGACTTTGTTGGCTTTAGTGTTTTCTTTGACTGATGAATCTATTTCTTCTCCTGTATCTTCAATGCCAGAGATCCTCTCTTTCATCTCTTGGATTCTGTTGGTTATATTTGCATCTGGAGTTCCTGATTGTTTACTCAGAATTTCTATTCCCAGCATTCCCTCTGTTTGTGTCTTCTTCATTTTTTTCGATTTCCCTTTTCATGTCTTGGACTGTTTCCTTCATTTGTTTCTTTGATTTTTCATGATTTTCTTTCAGTACTTTATTGTTTTCTTCCAGGACTTTATTGTTTTCTTCTAATTTGTTTGCCCTTTCCTCCAGTTGTTTATTGCAATCTTCCCATCGTTTTGTCTTTTCCTCTACACAAGCCTCTGCCTTCTTCATGATGTTATTCATAAGGCTGTTTTCTTCTGCTTCTTCCAATTTTTGATGTTCAGGTCTAGATGTTGGAGGCAGGTTAGGTTCTGGTGATGCTGTATTGCTCTTTATTTTGTTGTATGTACTTCTTCCTTGACTTCTGCCCATCTCCTTGTGGTTCCTTCTTGGTCTTATCAGCACACTGGGTTCAGACAGAGCTGACAGATTCAGGAAGTCTCTCTCTCTCTCTTGTCCAGATGGGAGCTCTCTTGTCCAAATGGGAACTCTGGGGCAGGATGGGTGCTCTTGTCCAGAAGTGAAGTCTGAAGCAGGATGGGCACTCTTGTCCAGAAGAGATCTCCGAAGCAGGATGGGAGCTCTTGTCCAAAATGGAAATTCAGGGCAGGATAGGAACTCTCTCTCTGAACTCTTTTTTTAACCTATTGTGATAAGGAAATGCAATTTTCTTCTATGGAGTGACCCTGTGTATATCAACAACTTTAGGGTAGGCCTCACGTTCAGCAGTTGTTGGTCAATATTATGGACTCCACAGTACTTTGTGATGGTGATTTTTATTTTGTTATACTTTGGTGTGGCTTTACTCTTTGTTAGTGTTTTATTTTCTTCCATAGGTGGGATATTTTATTTATGCTGAAATGTGGTGATATTTTATTTGTATGTTAATAAATAAAGTTTGCCAGAAGATCAGAGGAAATAACAAGCCATTAACACAAGTCAGGAAGAGATAGCACATGCCCATAATCTGATAACTTGGCAGACAGGGTCTCTCTGTGTTTAAGGACACACTAGTTGTAGGGAAAGGGGGATGGATAAAGAAACCTACCCTGACCCTGGAGCCCAGAATTAGAGAAAGGTGGCCCAAATAAGGCCACTGTAAGAAACACAATTTGGCTCAGATCAGAACCATCTCTGCCCCTGGCAAACTGACTTGTGAAACCAATCAATCACAGAGCAGGAGAGTAGAATCCTGGCCCCAGGGCCCAGGACCAGGGAAAGAAACACAGCCTGCATTTGGGACCTGAGCCAGAGAAATGAATACTCTATCCCCAAACCCAGAACCAAGGAAATGTGCCCTGATGCTGAAACTAGTGACAAAATAAAACTCTTTGTTCCCAGAATCAGAGTCAGTGAAAAAAATATGTCCTGGCCTTAGAGATATTGTCAGAAAACCCAAGAAAGGACAGTGAAGGAAATATAATTTGACCCTGAAATCAGGGCCATCTCTGCTCCTTGCTCTTAATACTGGCCATTTCCTGGGCTGAAGAAAACTAACCTATCATGGGTTGACCCTGCCCCCAGGACATCCTATATAATCCACTTGCCTGGTCAGTTGTGAGCTGTTTTCTCTACCCTGGTAGAGGTAGCTACTCTGCTGGACTTCCTTCCAAAATAATGTGTTTCTAAAAAGAGTTTTGGGTGTCAAGACCTTCATTCACTGGTGCACAGAAGAACCTTTCTGTGATATCCCATAGTGGATTGAGTAAGGGGAGCTAAACAGAAGATCTGTACTGAGACATCACTCTGTGGACAGAGCAAGAGCTTAAAAGTAATACTTTTCTCCTGAGATGGAGGAGATAGCTACATTTTCGCAATTTCTTAGATCTGAGAAGCAGAGCTCTGCTAGGAAGCTCTTAATGGGCGCTGAGCAAAGCTCAGGTGTAGTGAGTGGATCTTTAGAAGAGGAGCAAGATAGCTAAATCCTGCTGTGAAACCATCCCCCATCACACTAGGTATAGTCTGATTTTCCCGAACAGTAAGGGTACCTTGACTTTCTGAACAGTGAGGATACCCTTCCTTGCTAAAGCAGTTCCAGGCCTGACTTTTCCTGAGAAGTCAGAAAAACTTCTCTCCAGAGCTAAATTGTCTCCTATCAATTCCAGATGTCAGAGCTGTTCTCAACAGGTCCAATTGTCTGGGACACTTTCAGGGAAGAGCTGTTTTTCTGAGCAGCTGGAGGTGTCTGGGAAACATTGCAGTTCAGCGATCAGAGCTGTCCTAAGAAGCTCAAGGTGTTGCCTGACTCCCATGTAGTAAGGATGCCTTTCCCTAAGTTGCAATACTCATGTTTTAGTGCCAACATCCAGGACCAAACCCAGAGTTGTTGTAACCAGTTTACTTACAATAGGGAACAGCCAAGCATAGTGACACATGCCTTTAATCACAATACCAACCATAGAGATGTGGAGCTCTGTACAGACAGGCAGTGACAAGGAAGTGTGTAGCATGGTTAAGAACCAATGAAAGAGGAGAAGAGCAAGGTAATAGTGGCATGGGTTGACAGGAAGAAGTGTTGTGCATGAATAGAATCCCTTAGAAGATATTCACATAGCGTCTAGATATGCTGTTTGGTTAACACAGTTCCTCCTGCTTTCTATGTTCCTGATGTGAAGCACAAGTGATAGAGGGATTTACTAATTTCACTGCCAAATGAACTATTTGAGATGTTTCAGTTTGTCTTTTACTATACATGACTGAAAAAGAAATAATAAGGTTTATCAATCCTCAGACAATAGTCTGTAGGTTTTTATTCACTCTACTCTTCCATCCTTTCTTTAGGGAACTTATCAATGTGCTGGAGCATCCACTCATTTATACAACATAATACAAAAGATTTTCACTGTGTTAACTTATCTTGTGAACTAGAAAACAGAATGCTGCTCCTAATAGCTTCATTGGTTTATTAGGTAAAGGGTATATTTAGAGGCTGTTAAATTATTATGCTGTATAGAGAAAAGAGAAGGATTTCCTATCATCCTCATGTTCTCAGAACATGTTAAGTAGCTGGTAAAACCACTGCACTAGGTACATATATTTATCAGAACAACACATCTACCCAATTATTTACTGAGGATTAACTAGGACAGCAGAGGTGCTGTAGCTCAAACATAGAATAAAAACAGAAAATTCATGTCTCAGTTAGTTGGTCCATTTGGAATGAATAATTTAGTAAGATCAGTAATTTTCTCAAAGTGAGAAGTAAATGGATTTTACTGGATGTGGACATTATATTAATATGAATATATAGATGTATCATAGAAGCAAAGAATCTCTGAGACACAGACACTAAGCAAGATAGAATCCACTGACTTGATTTTGAAAATCATGATGTCTCAATCATTTTACTGCTTTTCAACCACCATGGGATTTTGGCCCTTTCTCTACCCACTACACTCGGAATGTCATCCTCTGATGTAGGCTGTTAACACCAATCCAGTTGTTTTCATATGAAAAGTTTCTTGCTTCATTCTTGTGAACAAATTATCCAAGGAGGAATTCATCCCTGAGCTCTTACTGCCTGCTATTTTAGCTGAAATCATGGTACCTATGGGTGTAGAAGAAAATTTATAAACATATTTTCCAGCTTGTTTTTCACCTTAATACAGGGCCTCAGATGCATAGCCCAAGGGAAGAAAGAGTTCCAGAATTCTCCGTGGCAGTGGAAGAGGTATAAGAAAGTGCTCAGAGTGTGACAGCGTCAACCATCAACAAAGTTAGAAGCGCATATGGTCACAAACTCTTGAGCTAAGTATAAACCTGCTGGACACTGAGATGTGGATCCATCAGACTTATGTCTGAGCAGACATGTGTGTTGATGGGATGTTTTCTATTGGTTAATATTATCAGGATCTTATTCAATCACAGCCATGCATATGCTTACAGCTCCTCTGAGTGTTATAGAATAATCAAAGAGGATTTTAACCATGAAGGAGATGTAACCATTGGTGTATTTTTCCCAGTTCATACTATGTACACAGTCAACAAAGTTCCACATCCTTATCTGCCGAACATTTACAACGACTTTAACATACAGTAAGTGTTGTTGTTCATTTATGCTGTTTCAGATTTCATGTTACAAATGAGCCAGGTAATATGTGTATTCAAGCTCCTATGCTTCTTATTTTTATCATGAAAACCGCTCTTCCCATTCAAAATTCCTTATATATTGTATCTTATACTTCATTTATTTTCTATTCTCAAAGATGATAAAATAAATTGCTTGTTTATTGATATTTGTTTCCAAATATGACATTTGAAATATTATATCTTCCTTGGCCATGCCTTTACAGTCACGTGTTTCTCATATTAGGTTTTCAGAGGGAGGATGGTTTTATCAAAGTTTATCTGGCTCTTCAGGACAGTCTAGAAGTCTATATAAACTTGTGTAAAAATGGTAATACCACAGGGCGGTGGTGGCACAAGCCTTTAATCCCAGCACTCAGGAGGCAGAGGCAGGTAGATCTCTGAGTTCGAGGCCAGCCTGGTCTACAGAGGGAGACCCAGGAAAGGCACAAAGCTACATAGTGAAACCCTGTCTCGAAAACACCAAAAAAAAAAAAAGAGGTGATACCACCAAAAGTTGTTACTATGGAGGGATGTGAGGGTTGAGTAACAATTTTGCATCTGCTAGATACCACGGATTTAGCAGTAAGGTGTCATATTTAGAAGTTGGCAATAGTTTCTTGTTGTCAAAACAGCTATGCCTGTCTTCAAAGGTTTGGGGTTAAATTAATTATTTATTAATATTTTACTATCAGAAGCATTTTTCTTTTACATGTCTTTCCATGCATTTCTAACAAGTTTTTAATCTCATTTTCATGGATGTGGTCATAAGACACAATGACAAGTTTTGGCCACTTAGGGTTGTTTCTTACTAAGTCAGAAATAAAATTAAGTTTGTGGTAGGGAAATATTTTTGTTACTACAAAAGAGCAATATGTGTGTCCTTCTCCCTTTCCATTCCTCCCTCACAATCTTCCATTGTACAATACCTTTCCTAATTTTTTTCATACTAGTTGGGGAACAATAAGTGTATGTATCTCAAAGCTAAAATAATTTTATAAGGCTGGTGATTACATCCTTTATTACACTATGAGAGTGCATATATGTTTTCAAAGAGGGAATATGTCTGCTCTCTAAGTTTTTTTCTCTTTTAATGCATAGAATTTTTACATGCCTAGAAATGATTATCTTAATTATCAAGACTACAAAACTTATTAGCTTTGGGTAGGAATTTTGCTTCACTACATAGTTTTTTTTTGTGGTCTAAATTTTTAAACAGATTTTACTTTAGGGTTATTTTAACTATACAGATGATATGATATCCAAACATACAATTATATATCAATTTTCAGATTAATGTAAGTTTTCTTTTGAGATAACATGACTTAGTATATTGGACTGCTCATGATACAGACTTTACAAGATATTTTTACCAAAATTTCTGTGTGTGTCTATGCACACTCATGCCTCAGATCTCACATGCTGGTGAGAGATCATCTGTGGAAGGACAACGTAACCTCCCACCATGTGTGTGTTGACATTAAACTCATCCCAGACTCAGTGCTAGGTTTTGTCCATATGACAAACCCTGTTATATTTGGTGCCTGTTATCCTTCAAATTAAAATTGGTACTGTCTCTAGAAATGTCTGAGATGAAGAACATGTCTATCCCATTGACTTTAAATTGTGGGTGACTAGATATGTCAAAAGAGATTACCCCAAATCTCCATATATTTTATGTTAATAATGTGACAAATATCCATGTATCATATGAATATTATCTTTTACAATTTGGATGTTGGGAGTTTTTCTCCTCTACTATAAATATATGCCCTTTTGTGAGCAGTTTCACACATCAAAATCGAAGAGCACTTCTTTGCAACTTATTCTAAAATACTTTGTGTGGGAAGCTTGTTTTAAAAATTTTTATTACTTCATTTATTTTGAAATTGTAATATAACTGGAGTATTCTCCTTTATTTCTTACCTCCACACTTTGTCACATAACTCTTCCTCCACCCTTCGGACTTATGGACTGTTTAAACAATTATTAATACATAAAGATATGTGTATACACACACACACACACACACACACACACACACATATATAATCAGTCTACATAAATGTACTCCTATGCATACTTTTGAGGATGACCATTTGCTATTTGCTATTTGATGGCTTTGCTTTTCCCTGTAGAAGACAGTTTCTCTGAATTTTGATTTTCCTTAGTTGCCTCTAGTTCTTTGTATAGAAATAAGACCCTATGATCTTTCTTCCAGCCACTTTGGTATATCTATTATTGTCTTCTTCATTCATATCTTGTTTAGGCAGTCATGTTAATGAAACTTTTGGAATAAGACTTTAATTATAAAATGTAAAAATTTTCAAACAAATAACCTAAATTGAAATGACCAAGATTTATCAACATTGCTTTTTAATAATATCAATAAATGCCTTTATTATCTTTCACAAGACAAATATTTAAGAGTAACACCACATGCCCATAAATATGTGCACACTGTATTTTTGGTGAATTGAGAAAAAAGCAATGAAGATATAACTATCAATTTTCTTGAGCATAACTCAGACAGTAAAGTCAGCTTTCATGTTTCCCCCAATCTGTCTTTCTTTTGTGTATTAGCAGTGAAAAAAGTCTTGATG